CTAAACATGCCGTTTTTGAGAATTTGATTTTCAACTAGGTTGAGGCATCCAACCACGCCATCAATCACAGTAAAAACATTAGGTCACGTCAGCTAGTTTCCTGTCCATTTATTTTATTATCCATGGTGTAAGTAATATCCTATACAATAAGCTGCCGTGGTTTGTCTGAACTACCAAAAAATGACTTATGATCGCTTGGACGTTTCGAGTTAATCATTTTCAGGTAGTTCAGACACGAACAACGAAAACAATGATAATTCACTCATTCAGATACATTTAATTATTTATTGAATTCAATTTATATTAATTACAAAACTGCATGCAATGTCATTAAATTCTGAAGACCACACCCTATAAATATTTCAATTCACTTTCTATACATTTGGGAGGACTAGAACATGTGCAATCTTAAGACGAATTACCAAAGCTTTTCTTCATCTAGTGCATAAATTACAAGTTATGTTCGTACTGCTTGTTCAGTGTTACTGACAGAGGCCATGGGGCGGTTGTTCAAAGCTGGAAATCTTAACTCTGGGTTCAAATTTAGCCTGCTGTTTTGATTTGGGTATTTCTGCACGATCGTTTGTTTCAAAGCTTCTGAAAATAAAACTTTTATTGATCCAGTCATAATCTCTGGTAAAATATCTCCAAGTTTATAAAGTGTTGGAGAGATTGCTTCGAAACTTCTCGTATTAACTCCGCATTAAGCTACACACGTAAAAATTTCACAACTTGTCAACAAGATGTGTTCACAGCTTGTAGCAAGCTTGTCAACAAGTTGTAACAATGCTGCAACAAGGTTGTCACTCACAACTTGTTGACAAATTGTTGAACTGCAGGACGATACCAAGTTGTTGGGAGAATTTATAACAAGACTGTTGAGCTCAACAACCTTGTAGCAAGTTGTCAACAAGCAGTGCGAACACATCCTGTTGACAAGTTGTTGGAACAGCATTGTTACAAGTCTGCTGCAGTTTGTTACAACTTGTGGGTTTTTACGTGTGTAACCGGCTTTCGAACAACCAGCCACGTCAAATTGAACAAGAGCGGAGATAGCCTGCGAATAGGGCGACGCCTGCGTAGTTCTTGTATTAGTTCCAATGTGACTCGTGAGACTAGAAGAGCTGGATATAGGCCGTCGTACTTCCGTCTCTCCACGATGGATCTCCGACGACTTTCGCCCGACACAGGGGACATGTCTGCTCGCGATCAAACCACAATGAAATACAGTCTTCACAGAACGTGTGCTAAACAAAATAATTTATGTAAGCAACACTATCAAAGTTTCTGTGATCACAGTAGGAATTTTGCATATTCTAAGATTTGAAGGATTTGTAAGAAATGTTTGAGGAAACTGACTCAGGGTTACACAATGAGTGAGTTCCCTCAAGCATTCTTAGAAATCCTAGCTTCATCGACTCACCTTGCAAGATCGTAATGAAATTGCCCGGGAGAATTCCTCCTGGCATATCGGACAAGTATTTCCTAATTTGGTAATCTGTTCTTTCGATGCTGCCATGCCGTATTGCTAGAATGTACAGAATAAGGATGAGTAAAAATGAACTGAAGAGATTTTCTACCAGATTATATTTCTATACTCACAACATCACATTGAAATGTCTTCACAGCGGCGTAAAGATCTTTGAGTTTTGTTCTTATTATTCGCGCCTGAAACGGTTTAATAATATCAAAGCTTGAATAAGGATTTATTTTAAACGTGGAGGTCTTGTGCACGTAATAGTCTACAGTAATCTACTCTGGTTTGTGTTTTCATGAGCTACTTGAAAAAGATATCTCAAACGTGGTAGTTCAGTGTAGGTAGTATTCTACAATAAGTTGTCGTGGTTTGTGTCTGAACTACCTGAAAAAGATATCTCAAACGTGGTGGTCCAGTGTAGGTAGTATTCTACAATAAGCTGTCGTGGTTTGTGTCTGAACTACCTGAAAAAGATATCTCAAACGTGGTGGTCCAGTGTAGGTAGTATTCTACAATAAGTTGTCGTGGTTTGTGTCTGAACTACCTGAAAAAGATATCTCAAACGTGGTGGTCCAGTGTAGGTAGTATTCTACAATAAACTGTCGTGGTTTGTATCTGAACTACCTGAAAAAGATATCTTAAATATCCATGCAGGACAACAGCAATGAGTGTTTTTTATACGTGTATTTTTAGAATGGTGTGTCGCGTCGTTCAGCGAGAGTAGGGAAGAGTTGAGCAACTTACCTTCAAAAGAAAATAAAACAAAGTGGAAAAGATGGCGAAATATTCCCCACCGATGTTATAATTTGTAAAATACTGATACCACAATGGCATAGGAGTGAGTATGCGATAGAATTGCGAGATATTCTCCAGTAATAAATAATATTTTCCCTAAAATACAATAAAGATCACCCTAAGAAGATATACTACCATATTGTTTTATATATAGCGTAAAATATATATTCATATTTTTATAGCATAATTTATACATGGACAGTGATAAAATGTACCAAGAATAATATATTTTACAAAGAAAACAACCAAATTTTAATTAAAATGTTAATACATTGTTCCATTGTAATAAATCACGCAAATAATTTGTGGCCAAAGGTGGAAACGCCTGAACGCAGATTATTTCTTACCCTGTTTTTGAAAGGCAAAATTCTTTTATGAACAATGATAACCAAAGATTTTAAAGCCATTGTGACCATTCGAATAACGTAATCTACGCAATAAAAAAGAACTTGATTATAACCCGTATGGACTAGCTTCTCAACACTTTTAGTTCCAGCACACTTACAGTTCTAGTAGTCCTGGAAACATTTATTTTTAAAAAATCTTTCAAATGGTTGTCATGTAGTGGAAGTCGATCAAATGAAGACGGTATTCCTTCCTTGTTCTTACCTGTAATCAAGATGCTCCAAAATACGACCCAAACATCGAGCTTTGAAAAATTTGGATGTTGAAAAATTAAACTGTAAGAATAGACAGGAAAATTCAGTGTAACGACACGCGACAGACAAACGTCTATTTGCCATGTTTATAATGCTTAGGTGAATTATCAGACAGAACGAGGCTTTTCCCGGAGAGTTTCATTTGCGTTCAAAATACTCCAAAGGTTTCTATTATGTGTTTCGAACGCAAATACAACGTGGGTTGAGCGCATAGATATCTATGGTTGAGCGCAAGTGAAACACGAGTCTAGCGCAAATGAAACACGAGTCTAGAGCAAATGAAACACGAGTCTAGCGCAAGTGAAACACGAGTCTAGCGCAAATGAAACACGAGTCTACAGCAAATGAAACACGAGTCTAGCGCAAGTGAAACACGAGTCTACAGCAAATGAAACACGAGTCTAACGCAAGTGAAACACGAGTCTAGCGCAAGTGAAACACGAGTCTAGCGCAAGTGAAACACGAGTCTAGCGCAAATGAAACACGAGTGTAGCACAAGTGAAACGCGAGCGCGTTTGGTAAATGCAAAGCAATGACTTACCAGCGTTGTAATTTCTGACTGTGAAACACGTAATAAATGAAACAAACATTCCCACAAAGAAACAAGATTGTCCACACAGAAATTCTGTTCAGACGTTTGTCCTGAAACAAATGAAGAATACAAAGGGATATTCAAAGGCCAAATCCCTGCTACTAACTCTTGACGAAGGGCCTTCGAAACGTGTTTTTTTTTTCAGGTAGCAATATAACCACTCAGCACAGCAATATTCAAAGGCCATTTACATGATATGACCAGTCCTATACAATTCCTAGCTTATCAACTTAAATAGTGTCATATTTAGAATTTCACCATAAACTGATGAACACGCAGGAATAGTGGCGTCAGCAGGTGTTTTCAAACGCCAGAATGACAATGGTAGTCGTATCGTGCTAATGGACCTCAACAGATCCTAGTACTCGAGGTATGGTCAGAGAGGAGTACTTGAATTGAGGTGCAGCGGGTGAACCAGGTAATCTGAGTGAGGGGCTGCTAACCCCTCCATAAATATACAAGAAACATCCATTCATTAACCCATTAAGCTGCAATGTGCCCTAGTTTATTTTACTCTGTTGAATGCTAGGTGATTTACTTGTCAAGGGAAGAGTCTTGTGTGTTAATGAGTCATTAAAGTTTCAGTATGCATTGCTAGACCTTACCTTTAAAGCAACTTGACGTTTTATTGTATTGTTTGCATGAAGAAATGTTCCTGTAAGACCAATGCCAACCAAGATACCTTGATAATTATCATTGCAAATATTCTCTCAGTTTATAATTGTATGACACGCAGCTGACACAGTCATGTAGCCAGGGCATTATTTTGTTTGAGGGGGCAAGAAGCAGATGTTGAAGGTGCGAGACAGGCTAGTGGGGTCTGGGGGCATGCTCCCCCTGGAAAATTTTGAAATCTAGAGTCCATGAAATGCAGAATTCTGAAGATTATGAAGTGCATCAAAGACATGACTTTTTATGATCTCACAAAACATACCTTCTTATGATGTTTGGGGTTTGGATTTTATAATGTGCACCTCCCCCCTGGGATTTCTTTATGCATTTAGACTTTTTGAGGGACTGCTTTTTGTGGTGATTGGTGGGCGATTGCCCCCCCCCCCCCCCCCCCCCCCCCCCCCCCCCCCCCCCC